CGCAACCTGAATTGCAGGAATGCTGAGGCCAACGCTGAGTTCAAGAATCTGGACACCGAGAAGCTCTTTGTTGAGCACGTCCAGGCTTCCAGCAGCTTGCAGCTTCCAGTGCAGAGGAGTAATCAGTGCAAAAGGTTTGTTTTCAGGTGAATGCTGCTCAGCAAGGCCGCAGGCGCACCTACCGTGCCCACGGCCGAATTGGCCCTTACATGCAGGGTGCCTCAGTTCATCATCAGTGCAACGCAGATCTTCATGACATGTGAGATGTTTGGTTTATATATACTTTTGTGATTTTGTTTGCTTCCATGTGTTATTTTCTTTTTCAATCCATGCGAGTGCGAAAGGAACTGCCCATGCCACGTGGAGATGATCTTGTCTGAGAAGGAGGAGGCCGTCGAGAAGGCTGAGACCGAGGCGCTCTCCTGGATGTTGGACTGGTTGCTGCGATTTCGCTTCTTTTGCAATGTCCACTTGGCGCTGCCCAGGAGAAGCCCAAGAAATTCACTCGCAAGCAATTTGCCCGATTGCGCCTCAAGGTGCCTCTGTCTTTAACGCACACTTGTTGGAGATTCGCTGGTGTGAACTCGTGTCAAATCGTGCTCTTCCATGCTCTTTTGCTCGTTCACTACCTCAGAAGGCTGCGACGTTGAAATAGATTGAACGGGTGTCTAAAGGCAGCAACATGAGGATCTCCAATCTTGGGTCGGAGTGCGGGATTTTCTACTTGAACAGTGGTTCATTTGCAGGTTGGCGGCGATCAGTGAGTGACCTCTTCAGCCGAAAGCTTTTACGTCGTGATGCGGTGCAAAAACAGACAAACCCTTCGCAGCTTTTGCACCTTGCTTCGCCTTGCTTTGCCGTTGGTTGCATTTCCAGATTCGTGAGCTATGTGTCTCTGTAACTCTAGATTCTGAGCTTTCTTTGTGTCTTTCTTCGGGCTACCTGCTCTTGTCCATTGTATCCTTCTACACGCTTGGATTGGGCAGCTGGGCAGCCACAGCCTGCTGCCAGGACGCAGAAAGAAGCTATGTGACCCTTGGAATGCCAGAGCCGAAGGAGGTGAAGGACCCGAAGGAGCCAAAGTCCTAGCAACACGAACGGATCAACGGAGCGTCCATCTGAACAAATTGAACATCTTTTAGAAGAACCCTTTTCATGTTGTTAATCCTTTCTCAAAGACCTAGACCTTCTTCTTTTCTTCTTCCTCTTCTTCTTCTTCTTGTTCTTCTTCTCCTTCTTCTTTTTCTTCTCTTCTTTTCTTCGTCATCATTTTGTAAATCAATCACATGACACTGGTTTTGTTCAATTTATCATCCTGTTGTATTATGCTGATCATTCAGCTTTGGTAGCCATAGTGCAAGAGTCACACCCACAGCTCACAAGCAGCTATGTCCAGCTTCTTTGAGAATCTCGAAGCAATTGCAGCTACTGTATCAAATCGAGTGAGAGGTCCACAAAACTCAACTGAGAGCTGACTCTCACTCTTTAAAGTCCCTCAAAAAGAATGCTGCTTTTCTTTCATGTTCTTTCCATTTGTTTAAAATTCGACTTTTGGATCTCCATCGTTTCTCGTTTCGTCGTTTCATCGTTGGGATTTCTTCGGTCTCCATCCTTCGCAGCGTCCTTCGCCCTTTGATCATCATTCTTGTGAGGCACACCGAGCTGAAACAGCGGCTCGTGGCGGCAGTGAGGCGTTGGGGGTGAGAAACATATTGTGCTGGAGTCTTTTCACAAAAGTCTTGCAAGAACTGGTCAGAAATCAAATTTTCAGGCCTGATGCTGATTTGAAAGTTTGGCCACGAGGCTCAGGTTTTGCCAAATTGCTGTCGGTCTGAGTGGACAGTGCTGGGCTTCGAGAGATTTCAAGACATATTTGACAGAAGACACGTATACGATTGCACTCGATTCTGCCAGGCAACGTAGAGGGAGCAAACTTGCCAGGAGCTCAAAGTAAAGAACTTCATGTGGAGTACGAGAGCGTCAAAAACATTCAAAATCTCAAACTCAGTTTTCAGTTGAAACCGAGCTAAGTTACCTATTCAAAGTTTGAGTTGTCCATGCTCTGCTCAGAAACACACGTTTTGAGGCTCCGATTAACTATGGCACCTGAGGAAGATTTCAGTGCCATGGCTCAATTCTGATTTCTTTCTGCCTTAAATGGATTTCGATGCTCCAGGTGCTCTGAACGTCCACGCCTTGCTGTCACGTTCACCATTGCCAGTGTCACGACTCTTGGCGAAAAGAAAGCCATAGACACGATGCCACTCGTCATTCCCTTGGCATTTGGGCCTCCCAAGGGCAAACTAGCAAGCTGTGTAACATGTACTACCATTTTGGATCAGCCTTGCGTAAGGTCTTTGGCGAACTGAACAGATGATGCTGGTCTGGCTTTTGCAGAGCTGCCAGCAGCAGCTGACACAGCTCCGCAGGCTGTGCATTGGTTTCACCAGCCGCACCAAAGGAGTTTGTTTTCACGACTGGTATGATTTGGTATGATGATCATGATGGATTGGAGAAGAACCCTCGGTGAGTTCATGAATTGTTTGCATCAACGATTGCTCAGCTTCAATTCATTAATGTGCCTGGTCTAGCTTCGATGGTGCAGGTACCAGCTTCCAGAGTTGTGCCGTCCGCACATCCGGCAGTTGGTTACAAACTACAGGGTGTATGAGCTGAGTTGGAGTTTGGTGTGCACTGTTTGCATTGGTATCTTGTGTATCTTAGCCAAATAGCGCAAAAGCGGAAGTGCGCATGGTGCGTTGTACCGTTTTTTGGTCCCCATCCAACATGAGGCTCGTGTGGAGACCATCTGGGAGGGATGCGTGGAGGCGCCAGAGGCTTCAGTTCTCCTATGTTTACTATAGTTCTCTCTAAATATCTACAGACATACAGAGATATTGATGCCGTAAAAGCAATACACAGATTTTTTTGCATTAAAAGCAGCAAAGGATGAAGACTAAAGCACCATCAAAATCAAGAACGAGTTACGCCGCTAGCCGCTAGTCGCTTGCATAATCATAAAGCCAAGCTATTAGTCACTGACTTATGGCTCCTATCTCCCAAATGAAGAGAAAAAGGTAGAAAACAGCTTTGCCAGCTTGTCAGCGCTTGTTCCCAAGGAGGTAAAGCTCCGTGCAGAACTCTTGGCACAAGACCCGCCGGGACCTCAGAAGAGCCGGTGTCCATTCGTTCCGTCGTTTCGTTGTCACAAAGCTCCTAGTAGCGTCCTTGTTCCTAGTAGGGCCAGGAGCCCCTAGTAGCGTTCTTGCTCCCAGTAGCTTCTTTTGGGTCTTAGACATCGTCACAAAGCGACAGAGCGTTACTTTTTTTCCATCGCCCTTGGCCCTGCCTCCTCGTCACTCCTTGGAGACTTCTCCCCTTCGCATTGCGAATCCTCATGCGTCATGTGCTACTTGTGCTATTCGTAAAACTCATCATGAATCATCATGATATTTAGGCGATTTTTCGCTTATCTTGCCCTGTCTTCCACTTGTCCATGACTAAGGCAATGCGCGGTTCCGCCGTCAAGTTTGGTGAGCGCAACGACTCGCCCACAGGTACGACTTGTCTCACCGTAGATCCAAGCTCTCTGAGCACACAATGAAGCTTGAATTGTCCTCGTTTCAGCTACGAAAGAGGTGAAAGAGCTGAAGGTGAAGAAAACGAAAGGAGGAAAAGGACGAGGCCAAGCTGTGCCTGATAAGCCTGTGGCTTCCAGATGCCATATGCCTTTTCAACACAAATCAAATTATTCAGGGAGCGTCCTTGCTCCTAGTAGTAAGGCCAGGAGCCCTACTAGCTTCTTGTTACTAGAGGTTCCGGTGTACTTTCCTTACAGACAAGAGACTTCAAGAGAGTATCTGTTGACGTTTCAGCCAGGCACAAAATGGCGCTGGGACCTTGACAAGCCAATTTCCCCTTGCCGATCAGTCGATCAAACTGGCACAGAGAACACCTCAGATTTTGAGGTGAAGCAGTGCGCTTCTCCGGGCTGACTTTGAGGCATGTGACATGCGTACCATTCTCATGTCTACCCTACCTTGTTTTAGAGCGCGACAAGCGAAGTGCTCTAGGTGTGGATCTGTTTGGGACCCAGTTCAAAGATGGGTCTGGAACGGTGACAAAATATGAGATGATATGAGGATACTGAGGAGGAGACTTGTTGAATTTCTACAAATGTTTTTTCATGCCTTTTTTGTATTCTGCAGACGGCAGTTGTGCAGTTGTGCCAAGGCCTGCCCAGAATGGATGCATCGACTTGCAGCGACTGCGCTGGTGAGAGTGACCGGGGTTGTGGGAGTTCGGGTGGTTCGGGTGGTTTGGTTGACAGGTCAAACATCAATTGACACTTTTTCGGAGCAAGACAAGTGATCAAGTGCAAAAAAAGAATATATCAAGCCTGAACTGGTTGTAGATGTTGGTAGAGGACTTCATGCATGTGAGGAATTGAACTGAAGGCATTGAGTTTGATGTTGGTACTCGGAGAACTCATATATAGTAACTGGACGAATGCCAAGTCTTGCCGAAAAGATACCTGAACCTGCTTGGCTCAAGCATGGCACGAGCACCATGCTTTCCTTGAACCTCTGAGGAAAGCCAACGGTTTAAGTGTGGGTTGCGCAGGCAGTGCTGGCAGTTGAGAACCAACTGTAACCACTGTAAGCCCCAAGAACTCCAGAGACCCAGCACTGCCTACGCTCCCCTGTGCCAAGCAACATTTGATAGTGAACCTTCCGATCTATTCACGCCGGGACCTGAGAGCTTCGATTTCTCGGAACCCCCGAGGGGGAGAAAAAGCAACGAATGCCCATGGAACCTTTTCGTGCAGCATCCGAGGGTTTTTGTGGCCATGACTGAACGTATCACACCGCGTATTCATCGATCAGCGCTTGTGTGGGAGGCTGAGTGTAGTCCTGCGATCTGGCAGTGATGGAGTTGACCGAGTCCAGGGTTTCTTTGATCACTTGATGCAGATTCCCTTGCTGAGGCAACAAGATTCCATGCCAATGATTATGCAAGGGAGAACCTCTCTGAGCTTCATCGCCAGTTTGGGATTTACAAATTTGCAGCTCCTGCAGGCGACATGGTACAACCTTCCTTTGGAACTTGACGCTTCTCACAACATTCTCTCTTGACCTTTTCAGCATTCTTTGTGTTTGCTTGCGCAGTCTCTTTTGGCCGTGGTCTTCTTGCTGCATGCGGCAGACGGTGCAATGCTACCGGGCATTTTCAAGGTGATGTCGGACTGTTGTTACTTGTAGAATGGATAACATGCTAGCGATGCAGTGTTGCAACACATTTTGCCGCACTCTGTCATTCTTCCTAAACCTTGTTCCTTGTCCGGAGGCACTTGAAGAGGGCCTTGAAGCAACGCCCGCCTCTTGACTTCAATTTTAGGTGACTCATGCTTCAGAGCAGAAAGCAGGCAGAACCAGACCCAGATTTGATGCGGGACATATGGCACATGTACAATCAACAGATTGTCATAGATGGTCCCAAAAGGACCTGTCCAAAGCTTGTGCCACATGTCTGTTTTTCACATACATAGCCAGGTGACTTTGGGGAGCATCATTTTTGTGGAAGCTCTTTGCCATAGCATCGCTGTTCTAGCACCTCGGCACAGAAGTGTACAGTTCTTCTGATCTCTTTTGGGCGATCCGCAAGCCGGGCAAGCCGGGCAAGCCGGGCAAGCCGGGCAAGCCGTAAGGTCTGGGGCATTTTGGCCGACCGCTATTGCAAGCTCACTTTGCTGATGTATGCGATCCTCGGCGAAAGAGCCTTCAGTACGGTATTGATTTCAGGTTTGGTCGGACATTTGTTCGGCCTTCAGTACTTGAGTCTTGTGCATTTTGGCAAGTCGGCTAAGGACACTGGTGTGCGACTCAGATTGAAAGGTCTTGGTCTTTTGACATCTTTTTGCGGAATAGACTTTGACCGGCCTCATCCGGCCAGCTCTGGGGCTTCATCACTGCATTGACAGCCTTCGTGACCGGTGTTCGCGTTCTCTTCATCGTGCGGGCTGCAGCAGGCGAGATTCGGCGCAAGCTTTCAAACTCGGTTCAGAGAAGGAACCCCGTTCGTAGCGTCCTTGCTCCTAGTAGCGATGCCAGGAGCCCCCAGCATCGTTTTCAAACTCGATGTTAGCCGATATCCATCGCTAGTAGTAACAAGTGCATCGCTGCTAGTAACAAGTGCCTTACTAGTAGTAACAAGGTTCGCTATTAGAAACAATAAGCATAGTAGGTGGGATGCCATCGGCCGCTTCGAAGTTCGCACAAGACGAGCGACTCCTCACCGGAGGCACTGTTGGTGCAGCACTGGGACCTTTGCCGAGCCTCAGAACTCACAGCCGAATAACAGGAGATGATAGGTGTATATGCTAAGTGCTAGAACTCCCCAGTTCCTGTGCAATCCGCTGCTATCCTGTGCTTTCAGCCTGTATTTTGCGTTTGGTGCCCTGAAGCCCTGAGGTCCCAAGGCCTAATTGGGGCCACCTGCCCATCGGCTGATCGAGGCTCTGAGGGGCCAAAAACGATTTTTAAGCAAGTCCTCTGAGTTTTTTTGCAGGTTTGGGGTTTTGATTCTTTGTTGGATTTCCGATTCCATTCCAGCTGGCTTTGACCAAGCTTGGGACTTCTTTGCCTTACCTCAAGGCCGGGCATTCGGTTGGCTCATTGCATGCGGGCAGTTGGGCTTTATGATTGGAGCCAGATGCCAAGCCGCTTCTCAGAGCACCTGGTGCTGCTACGCACGCCTCAAGTCCTCACCATGAAACGCAAGAATGCTTTACAAGAACGCTCTCTTTGAAACCACTTCCTTCGTATCGTCTCCTAATCCCAAATCCAGAGGTTTTGCTAGCTGGCGCCACTTCGCATCTTCAGGCTGGAGAGTGCGGAGTTTGGGAATGATCTCCCCGAGCTGGACGATCCGGTTTGTTTGGGTTAGTTTTACAGTTTGTTTCTTTTGTTTAGTCTTCGGACCCTTCTGTTTGTTTGTCTGTCTGCCTTTGATTCTTCTTTTCTTCCTTCTTGTCCTCTCTTTGGTTTACAACTATTTCCGCAACAGCGTCGAGCTAGGGGTCTTCCATTGAGAAATGCCGTCGGGGGGGAGCTTTGGTGGCCCGGTTGTGTTTTGATCGTGTTCTAGTCAATTGTTATATGCTCGGTCAGTGCACGTGATGGTCAGTGGCCAGGTTATGCTTGGCGCCTGGTAACCAACAGAAAGATGCATATTGTTTTTTGTTCGTTAATAGGGTCGACAGATCTTTGTGATTTTTGTCCTTGCATCGTCTCTATATGCAGGATATTTTTTGCATCGCCCGATGCACTGGATTCCCGAGAAGAATTGCAGAATCCAAACTGGAAGATAACAAACCTTGAGACATCTTGCTAGTGGAGCTTGATGGACTTTGAGTGGTCCTACTCTGTCTTCCTTCCAATCGATGAGGTTTCCTGCTAGGAAATTGGTTGTTCCAACCCACAGTGCGTCGTAACTCTGTTGGATGTTCTGGACGATTTTCGTTCTCGCAGGTGATCCATGGCTGGAGGGGCACTTTCCTCCTGATGGGAATCTTTACGTTCTCCAGCAGCGTTTGAGGATCATATACAGGAATGTATTGACTCAATTGGTAATCCTTTAAATTGTCACGACTCTGGTGATTGTTCAAGCTCGTGAGCTGGAACTTGACCGTTGGTCCGTGTGCATTCCGAGAACATATTCTTCTCAAGTAAGTCAAAGGTTCTGGTGATTCTTGTGTTTTTTCATGTTTTCTGCAATTTGCGGTTTGTCTCTTCAAGAAATTTGTAGGCTTATTTTGAGCTGGATTGTCTACATGGCAAAAATGGAGGTAACGTTGGTGCCTCATGGAGTGAATCGCCAAAGCAGAAGCCTTCGGAGCTTCCATGCTCCGAGCAATTTTTTTCCTGTTTGCATGGCAACTTTTGCTTGAAGCTGTTTGCATTTCCCCAACTGGCGTGCGAAGCCAATACCAAGACGTGGCCTCTTTCAAGAGTCCCGCACTTGGGCACAGCTCTTAGCAGCTGCAAAGAAGGTGCGACATGCACGGAGCATTGAAAGATTAACTTGTTGCAGAGCGAGTTTTCAAGGCAGATGCTAAGGGATTCTCGCTTTGACAATCCCTTTGAACAACCCGACCACTGAGCAGTTTCGGCTGAAAATCTTCTTTCCAAAGCGATGTGCTGCCAGGGAACTCCAGATGGACAGCCTTTGAACGATATCTGGAAGGAGGGCTGAGTCCCAAGCAATCGCAAGCGGTCGCAAGCGGCCTTCCCTACGCTTGATGTATGAGTTGCAAGATGTCGAGGAAGAGCTTTCCTGCCACATCTTAGGCCATTGCTATTAGGTTGGAGGCCATTGCTTGGTGGTTGGAGGCCATCGCTACTAGGTTGGAGGCCGTCGCTACTGGTTGGAGGCCATTGCTTGTAGGTTGGAGGCCATCGCTACTAGGTTG